TCTATATGTTATCCATTCTATGTGTTATACTTACGATAAAAGTAAAGGTGGGGATACCAGAGAGCTTCAAAGTAGGATGGTACCCCCTAAAAAAAACTGGGTCGAGTCACCTTAATTCTTATTTGCTGCCACCTTGTAAATCATTGTTGACATTCTTGCGAATCCGAACAGCTCCGAACTGTAAGACGAAAAAAGATTTTGCAAGACTTATGACGAAAATAAATGTCGGATACATATATTTTACACATAATTGAGAATTAAAGGCGACAAAAGAAATCTTGTCAGATACGCTTACCAATCTAGGAGAAAGTGCATTGCATTGAAATAGCTCTTTAATGACAAAGGGGGTGAGGAGGGGCCTGTTTTCTATCTAAATCTTATGCAAACAAGAAAAGCGATAGTTTTTTTTTCTTAGCAATAACGCTGCCATTTAATTATCAGTAAACGCTGATTGTCGATAGAGTCTCGATAGCCGGGCCATAGAAATGATAAAAAGTACATGTTCAACGTTTTAAATTGAAACCCCTGACTTAAAAAAATGTTAATGAGACAATGAATTTTTATAGTAGAGATAATTCCTCAGTGACATAAATGTGTGCATTCAGCATTTTGACCACAGCATCCTCCGTCAGGAACTTTTTGTTAGGAAAGCTGAGCAACAATGGCCTAAAACTATTGGTTTCTAAGAAACGGATCCTTCCGGGTATTAGAAGCCTATCATAAAAGTTTGTAAGAAAGTCAATACTTACTTTTCTACTTTTCTAAAATTTTATTTTATCCTTCTATGAGTGACAGTTCTGCCAAGTGAATGGAAATCATATACAACTTTCAAAGGTGCATTCATTTAATATTTTATGAAATAATCGGTATATGCGTTGTGTTTTAGTTTTATCCTTAGTTTAAATTTTATTTTTCTTTGTTTTAAGGTAAAGGATAAAGTGAACCACAACCGATACGCAAAGCATCTGAGTTTATGTATAGTAAGTTTCTATAACCAACCAACATGGCTTCGACTAAATGTTAATTAACTTTCTTTTATTTTCACCTATTGTCAATATAATCCACCAGCTTGGCTTAGAATAAAGAGAATAAATAAACGGAAAAAATAATTATTATCTAAAATGTAGATTTTGCTGGAATAAAACCATCAGCTGCTCGTCCTCTATTAGATTTGATGCTCGCTTATTACATATTACCCGCAACGTTGAAGAGTCTGTTAAAAGAACTGATCTGAAATATAATACCGTAAAATTCTTAAAATAAGCCTCTCCATGTGTAAGCCCCTTCAATTAGAACCTCCCCAAACTCGTAACGCAAAAAGCCCTCCATTAAATCGCCCCCCCCAAATATAAGGCCCCCCCCCGGGGGGGCTTGTATTAAGAAACTGCCGTCACATACAAAGCAAAATAAAGCAAAAAGGGTAAATTTCCTTCCAACTACAAGGCTAGCCCAATCGATTTTGAAACGCAAATTTCCCCAAGTAATGAGCCCCTCCAAAAATAAGCGCCTCAAAAAGGGCCTTTGAAAAATAAAAGCCCCGGGGCTTAGTTTCTGAATTTTACGGTATACTAACTGAATAGACGATAACCTCGAATACGCAGAACTCTAATATCCTCCACTATCAACAGCAATGTTTTGACAATATGTTTCGCAGTATTTCCATAATAGCGTGTTGAATAGGTCTCATCTTCCAGGCGTAGATGAGCGGATTCAGTGAAGAATTCAGATGGACTAGGGCCACAGCATAGATGATTAAAATTTCCTCTGCAACACTTGGTTCATGACTGGATACCATGTTTGCAAAATAAATAGAATAACGTGGTAGATAACATAACAAAAAGACGATATATACATAAAATATAGCGATCGCAGATTTTCTCTGGCTTGCTGTGTTCTGCGAAGTGCTCTCAACGTTTTGTGATGCTTTTTGCACTTGCAGTGTATGACTTTGGTTTGTGAGATGACGCACTGTTAAGTAAATCTTGAAATAAAAAAATGTTGTAGAAATAAAACAGACAACAACAATCGCAAGGAAAGTAGCTTGAGCAGCCGTCGTTCTGTCCCAGAGATCAAATAGAGAAACAGTTGCACTGAACACCCAGATCGTGATGACTGCAGTGACAATACGCCTGTGAGTTACAAGTTCTTGGTATCTAAGATGAAGGTGAATGGCCAAGAATCTGTCGGCGCCTAAAGCTGTTATATTTAAAAATGAGGCTGCAGTAAAACAAATCCCAAAAACCTCAGATGCCTTCTCAAACTGGAAAGTATCTTCATTGTTTTGAGTTACCAGCGTTGCTATGGCTAGAGGTTGCACAATTAATCCAACAGCAAGATCAGAGACAGCAAGGCTCAATAGCAATATTCTAACAGGCTTCGGCAACGAAGAAATTTTTCTTAACACATATATGGTTATAATGTTCAGCGTGACTGCAGTATAAGAAGAGAAAATGTTTAAAATTAGTGCGATGAATGAAGAAATTTCCTCAGCGTTTGCCATTGCCTAATTGGTAGAAGTATGTCAGATCCTTTGGTACTGTTGATAGTTAATGCTACCGGACGAAATCGTGGATTTAAACATTCCTTGATCAAACTTCGCCTACGTTATGCTTCCTTCCTTCACTGAACACGTACCGTTCACTCGCTTGCAACAACTTTATTTATAACTTTATTTATTTCTCTCGACCTGTCATTTTTGACAGCTGTTGTGTCATAGACTTTCTTTAAAGTGCAAACTAATTTGAATATAAGAATAACTGGAAAGCCTTGAGGCACCAGACACGTCCATTTCATCTCTTAGAGGGAGGTCTATTGGCCTCGTTTAATTTTTGTTTTGTGCTCATATAACTTATTATGAAGACAGTGTGAAACAAGTTATTTTCGGCTGGAAATTTCCCGGCGGTTAAAATTACTATCAGAAAAAAAAATAAATAATGACGGAAATGAAAATTTGTCAGAGGTTTAGTTCGTACTTAGAAGACAGTGTATTTGAACTCCTTTCTAGCTTTCAGTTAAAGAAGTCATCGTAGTTAAGAGCGCGAAGAAAAGCACGTTTCGCTAATGTATGAGCACCACATTAACTATCTCGCATATACGATTTAAAGAACGCAATACAATATTAGCATGTTTCCCTTGTGTTGAAAGTTTTTTATTTCCAAATTAAAAAGAAAAAAGTGACGGGAAAACAATAAAATTATTTAGTCCATCTTCCAAAAGCAATGAAGCATATTTTTAATGCAAGATCTTAGCGTATGCTTCGTAAATGATGGAGTCAACCGTTTCTTCCAAAAAGGCAGCTGAGTCAACAGAATAATATATCAAAAAAGTCCCGCACGCATTTTAATTGCCAATTAAAACCTGGTTGCCGTTAATGGCCCGCGAGCCCTTATGCGTGGGACATATCCCAGACGATCAAAAACACCTCAGTCAGAGAGTCACAGCTTACTTATTTTGTTTTATTTGGTTTTGGTACGAAAATGGCACCAATCAGGGCCTGAGATGCCAAGGATCATCCCCAACTATAGCTGATGAGGTGATGTTCGCAAAAGAAATATCAGAAAGTATCACATGTTAAAAAAAGAAAAAAAGCGTACGAAAACCGACTGGCTTGTGAGCTGAGGCCCTCCGTTTGCCATAAGGAAAAAAGGGCTAAACTTCGGGGGAGACGGGTAGAGGGGTAGTGGGCCTTAAACTAGCCTCTTTCCCCTATTTTCGCCACCAAGGGTCCTGGCCTCAGGCTATGCCAGAAAATAAAACGTTTTCATCAAGCATTTTCTTGTTCGGTAGCAGCGTCGCAATGGTCGGGAAAGTAGATTCAGATTCAGCACTTCCGATGACTCAGACCGCATGCCGCAGACCAGCGTTGTGTAATGCTGATAGATATCTCCAGTATAAATAAAGCTTTTATTATTATTATTACTATTATTATTATTAAGTGCATAATCAGGCCTAGAGCTACCATCAAAAAGGGTTTATTGTAGCTGTTCTAAATAACCGTGTAAACTTGCTCTTAGTTTGTACCACAAATAGATGACAGAGGGACTAATATCTACTAATTTCACATTATTTTATATAATTGATGGATTTTTCTTTTATTAATGCTTTGATGGCTTTCATCAATCTTCTGAGTGAAACAAAATATTGATAAGCCCTCTCTTAGTTAGCTTTACTTTAGAAAGAAAACAGATTGAATGAAGAGCTATCAAAATTTAATAAAAAGCTTGAGCAGTTAAAAAAACCCATTCAAAATTGCTTCAACTGAAAGGGATTATTTTAAAGTTACTTCCAGAGTAAACTTTGAGTCCATTTCGCAAAAACTTTTTGCGGAATGGACTCAAATTTAAGACACTTCCTGTCATGACTAAACGGATTACTATGCAAAGTCTTCACCTGTTTTTGGGAAAAGGAAATTGAAAAAAATATATTTATATTATATATTCAATTTCCTTTTCCCAAGAACAGGTGACGACTTTGCATAATAATCCGTTTAATCATGGCAGGAAGTGTTCCGTTCTCCACCTAATAATGTCGGAATATCGCCTTTGTGGGATCAGAGTTTGACTTAAGTTTGTCCTTTCTAAGCGGCAAAAAACACATTTTAGTCCTGCATTAATAATTTCAAAGAGTTTTCTCAAAAACAGACACCTATTTAAATTTTAAACCTTATCTTTTCTAGCTGGCTTTCTTTTTTCAATAATTTACTAGTTCATGAATTTCGCCGTTTACAGGTACTTTGCATATGTTTAGCATTCAGTGGCCTGATTATCCCCTTCCGGCCTTAGGTACAGTATACAACGGAAGATTGAGCATGGCTCTCTGATTGTTAGACAGCCTATATATAAGGCACAGCCATAGGTAACCTGAGATTAGGCCCAATTTTAGCTGTTCTCATACATTCTCTCTAACGGCTACCGCTAAAATTGGGCCTGATACAAACTCTCTCACGTTTGTGCTCGTTACGGCCAGATTTTGGCCGTAACGCTGATTGGCTGTTAGAACAATACCACAAGTTCTGATTGGCTGTCGGAAACGCCGGAAGTTGAAAGCGCTTATTCCTCGCGTGGTTGTTTTCGTGAATGATCCGTCATCGGCGGAGAGAAGGATCGATTTTGCTGTCTTTTTTATTGTTTTATGATGTTATGGTAGGAAAATATGCCTTAATATGTGCCATGGAAATTCAGAAAAATCATATGGTTGTTCATATATTCTCAGGATTTGCTTCATTAACGGAACTAATGTGAGTGTATCGCGGAGTTGAGTCCCTCTGCAAGTTGTTGACCGCTAACAAGGTGCCTTTTGATTTACCAACAAACGAGTGCAAATCAAAATACTGTCCATCTTAAAACCGGTTTCATCTGAAAGTTTAGCCGGAATGACTTCTCTGAACGGGGTACGCAAGCGGAGGCTCACTGCGAAGGAAACCTCAATCGCCAAATGTGAAGTATTAGACGAAAAATATCGCATCGCTGTTCAAGGAATTTTTGTAGGCGTTATTATAAAAGCTGGTGGCTTAGGATAACAGACTGGTTGTTTGCCTTCGCTTTTTGTAAAATATAAACCAGGAAAACTGTTTTTAAAGATTTATGTACTTAAAATCGGGGAAAATTGCCGAGGAAAATATTAAGGCAACAGAAAAATAGAAATTTCAGTATTTTAAATTCGAGCGCGCCAAGCCAAATTATAAAACTAAGTAGAACATCGTGTCACCGTTTTTTCGAAAACTTTTTACCTTCTACGCAAACAGAAATGACCTTCGAGATCTTCCTTAATCTCGCAAGAAGTGAAATGTGATTGTGCTGACTGTTTTATTTTTAGCTGTAAAAATTAACAGATAAAAACTACTTTTTAAGTCCCACTCGTGAAAAATTTGCATACTAGAAAAACAAGCAACGGGAGTAATTTTGGTCGGCTGATTCAGCAAATGTCAATCAATCAAAAAAGTGGGCGGCAGTCGTTTCGTAGAAGGTTTGTATCAGGCTCTCTTTTCGTTTCACCTTGCCCGCCGGAATGTAATTTTCAAAGCGAAACAAAAATAGAGCCTGATCTCAGGTTAAGCCAAAGGCACCATCCTCTGATGAATAAAGCTCCAATCAGTTTATCTAGAGTAGTCTCAACCTGTTTTGTGAATCTATTTTGTTGAATCTATATCGACTCTATCGAATCTATTTTGTTGAATCTATGTCGACGCCCCCTAGATCTATAAGAGCGTTTGCATCAAGCGCCACACTAGTCGGCCATTGATCAGCTTGCTCGATCGAATGTGTTGTTGATTCTTTTATCGATGTTTGCCTCAATTCTGTTTGTTATTACCGCTTCTGTTGTTTCTAGTGCATTGTCATTATTGTATGTATAGGCATTATTGTTTTTTCCTTGACCTCGTAGTGGAGCTTGCTCTGTGAGTTATTAGAGACTTTTAGGGCGCTTTCCATTTAGTCAAAATTTCCGGAATTTCCGGTTCGGCGGTAAATGGAACACGTTTCGTCGGTTCGTCCCACTGGAAAATTCCCAGAAAAAGTGGAAAATCTAAAAAGGTGGTCCCGTTTTCCCGGTTGGAATTTCCGAACGGAATGTCGTGTTCCATTTACGTTTCTCGTAGTTTGTACCAGTTCCAGGTCCACGGTCGGGCACCGCGCCACGTACCGGGGTTTACGACCAAATGGAACAACTTTTTACCAATCGGAAATTCCACTTTTGCTACCACCGAAATTTCCGGGTTTTTTTCGTAAATGGAAAGCGCCCTTAGATTCTAAGACGAGTACGACTACGAGTACGAGATTTTCTCAGTACCAAGTAGTGCCCGCGCGTGAACCAGCGTCATTTTGGCGGGAAAACGTGGTAGCCGTCGACATTCTACTACTAGTTTTAGCGAGAATGTCGAAGTAGCGGAAACAAGTTATCAAATGTTAGAAGTTTTATCATTTTGCGATCGGGAGAGGGTGTAACCTCCTTCACTAATGGTAACAATGCTAACTTTTCGGGTGAAAAATGGTAAAATGAAGCTTTCCGGGAAGTCGATATTTTGAGAAGACGCGAAAAAACTTAAAGTCAAATCTCGTACTCGTAGTCGTCCTCGTCCTTGAATCTAAAGGTCTCTATTTTATTATCCAGGCCTCGGCTTGACAAATCTTGTAAATAAACAAATAAGTAAATAAATATTTTGTCTTTTCCACGAAGGCGCAGTTTAATTTCTTCATCACTGGTTTCTGTGACACTTTTTAAAATAACTTTTTTTTGGATATAGTTATCAGATTTGTAAACCAGTGTTTGAGCTAATCTGTATTCAATGGGTTCTCTGCAGCGCACATTCTTTTTGTTTTACTGTAATTTACCATTGATTTTTTAACTGATTAAAAACGCCCCATTGGGATTTCTTAAATCCCTGGTGCGATTTTAGCATTTAAGAGCAAATGTCTGTAAAAATCGAGCAAAATCGAAATTTCGCGGCCACAGTCAAAAAATCATTTTCGCTCATATCTTGTTCATAGATAGGCTCGCACGCAC